CCTCTTGCATCTCGAGTTGCCTAGGAAAAGCACAACCATATTAGACAACATGAGACCATCTGACCAGTCAGCCAGACGTCGCTGTTTTGCAATGGTGTAATTTTATCTAATGAAGGATCCCCACACGAGTTCGAACACCGGCTGGATCACTTTTCTTTGCATTAAAATTACCATTGCAAAACAGCGACGTCTAGCGAGGGGTCCATCCCCGGAGATTCCTACTCTCAGTCCCAGTGATTAAGCCGCAAGCTCAAGTGATCCAGCAGGGTGCTAATGAGCTCTGAGCATATCTCTTATTTTTACTAGATAAAATTAGACCACTGGTCGGATGGTCTAATACTATCTACTGTAATAAACCACATCATGATACGGTGCGTCGCTGGGGCCAAGTCAGGCTCGGAAATGATGCTAAAGAGGTAGAGCGGGAGATGCTGGCTGGGCGGGCACCAGAGCCGACCTTGTCTGGCATTGGTCGCATGGAGGTTTGTAGGGAGGGTGGCGGGGTGGGGGTGAGAAAGGGTTGGGTAGGTGGGGCGGGTATTGGCAGTGGGCGTAAATAAATGCGGTAGTCCCGACTGGCCGCAGTTGTTTTCCTTTAGCAATCGACGTGGTTGCGGCAGCATGGCTTGGCAACATCGTGGTGGCTTTCATTACTACGTTCCGTTGAATTGTCAAGCATAAGCTCAACCCCATTGTGGCACAGTAGGTGATTAAGGGCAAGTGAGGGGTGGGAATGGTTGTGAGAGCTAGAGAAGGGGATGACGTCCGGGCACCAGACGAAACCGAATCTAACGTTGGCGGAATGGGCGGCGGCGAAGAGAGTAGCGGGATGGGAGCGTGTCTGGATATGGGCGGAGGGCGACGTCAGCTGTGAGCGGTGGGTGAGGAAGGGGTGGAGGGGTGGTCCCGGTTAGTAGTGGCTGGTGGTTAGCTTGTGCAAAAATACTTTGTTGTCGTGGTCTACATCGCATCACGTTTGTAATGGGCGGCTTGAACCTTGCCTTCTCCAAAGGAGACGCACACCAATAATATGGTACTTTGTTGTTGGTTGAGGCCAAGCGCGGGTTGTCTTGATGCTGTGAGGTAGAGAAGCAAATTCCGGTTAGTCACCAGAGGCGATCGTGTCTGACGTTGCTAGCAAGGAGGTTTACGAGCAGAGTGACGGAATGGGGCCGCGGGTGGGGGCTCGGATGGGGGCTCGTCGGGGTTTGGACGGGGTGGGTCGGCCGTATTGGCAGCGGACGGGGAAGGAATGGACCCGACTGCTAGTGGCTGGTTTCCCACAGCAAATGGGTATTGTTGTCGCGGTGCTGCTCGCAACGTTGTGGCTTGTCGGCGCTTTGAATATTGACTTCTCAACGATAGGCACAACCAAAACTGGTGCAAAACGTATAGTTAAGGCCAGTGAGGGTCGGGGATGATGCTGGAACGTGGAGGGTGGGATGCCGGCTGGTTGGTCACCCGAGGTGACCGTATCTGGCGTTGGTGGCATGAGGTTGGCGAGGGGTGTGGCGGGACGGGGCCTCATGGTGAGGGCGGGGTGGCGGGTGTAGATGTTGGCTGTGGGTGGGGAAATGGTTGGTGTTTTGCCGTACCAGTGATTGATCAACAACCGTTGAGCGTTTCCCGGATACATATCCCGAATCATCAAACATCCCAGAATTCATTCAAAAGTCTTGTGGCAAGTATCGAAAACGATGCGCTCAAACACGCACTTTCCCCCCCTGGCAGGTGCAATCTTGGTTCAGCGAGCACCTCCAAAACTGTATACCACTTTCAAGACACACGTTCGCGGCTGCCAGATTCTCCCTTCGCCCACGCTCAGTTGACAACGGGTTTCGGACCCTGATTGCTGTGACGACCGTGAACAAGAGGGGATGAACGCTGAACCGATGGGGAGAGCTGGCCTTCAAAACGTGCTCCTCGTTCTTTTCAGTGTGATGGATGGGGTGGATTTGGACCGGTCTTTTCGGGAAGGGTTCAAGTTTGCGACCATATTTCTTGTCGCTAGCTGGCCCGTCGTTCTTTCCACCGTAGCTTCATCTGTATTCCTACAGTAGGTCCTTGGCGCTCACTGGCCCTGTATACCGCGACACCGTAGCTGTCCATGGTAGATAAATGCATATGCGCTGCGGTCACCAAAATTACACACGCGCGTGTCCACCTGCTGAAGTCTACGGTATCCTGGTTGTAGTTTCGCCACCTGTACGTTGTTATCACGCTCCCGGGTTCTTGTCGAGAGCGTCTTGCACAGAAGAGGAGTGATTCAAGTCTTTTTGCCATTCAATTTGTGAGATTTTGCCGAGAGGAAAGGATCTCCGGTAACAATCACGTACGTATGTACGTACATAGATCCCGGAGATCCCGGAGATCCCGGAGATATTTCCCCAGCCGGAAGCAACAACTCATATTTTCGTGCACACCTGCCCTAGTCTATACACGCGTTCTACAGCAATCAACACTCATTAAATCCCGAAGTGCCTGCACCTAACGTCCAAAGCGTCACTCGATTTCGTATAGGTACGCGCAAACACACACCTCAATTCCCTGACCCTGACACTGACGCCATCGGGGTTCTTCGGCCTCGTCTCCACGGCGCCTGTACCTACTACAACCCAAGACCAATTCCCGTCCAACGCGCCCAGTTTCTGCTCACCCCCGCTCTCAGGACAGCAAATTTTTGGCAGCACACGAACTCGGCTCTTTTTTGTGTGGCTCACTGGTTGTGACCACAGCGAACAACAGATATGAACGCCGAGTTTGATGCGGAGAGCGGGTAGTGCGCCCCGATACGCCACGTGGGATGGATGGATGGTTTTCGATGGCCGGTTTCAGGACGACTTCGAGTTCCACTACATAAGCATACCGCTGGATAAACCTTTCATCTCCTACTACTGTCTCGTATGTCTCGATGCCTTCGTCATTCGTACTCGACATTTGACCCTCCTCGAGGTGATGCCAAAACCTATCGAAATTTCCCGAAAACGTTGGGGGTGGAAAGCGCTCCATAGTTCGTGTGTACACAGAGGGAAGAGAGTGCTGCACCCTCCTCGCATTAGGAATCGATAGCAAAGTACCGCAGCAGGGTTGGGTAGAACCCTTGTGTGTTACCACGGACGGGTTGGAGTTAGATCGGCATACATAGTGCTGTGAGCGCCGATTTGAAGTGAAGTGTTCCGGCCGGATGTCCCGACCGGTTCTGAATACGATGATGGACACTTCGCTATGGTCGCGAAGTATCCGGAGGGCGCGGGCTGTAATGACCGGGGATTCGAACCGACTTACAATGTTCCCCCGGTTCAGCCTGCTGGGAGGTTTCAGGACATGACCCCTGACCCCCAGGATTGTACCGCCTCCCTCGGCGTGCTATCCTGACCAACACCCAGGTTAGTTACCACCGCCGATCACGCGAGAGACTCTGAGCCATACCCTTGCCTTGTGCCTGACCAAGTGCCAATCCCTGTGAGTGCTGGACCTGATACGCTGATTATCGAGCTTGTGAGGACCCGCATGACTGCTGTTGGGCGTCGCCGATCACCCGCTTGAAGTCATACAACCGCTTGATTGTTCTGCATGATCGATCTCCACAAATATAGCTTACTATCTGTGCCCACAGGTGAGAGGTAACTATCCCGGTTAAAAGAGAGATATAAGCTTGTCCGGAACATCATACACGTACGGATAAAACACGGCTGGACCATGTAGACGTCGACGGTGTGTCGGGCTTCGCTACGAGCTGGGGTGTGACCAACTCAACGTTATTTTTTGTTCGGGGATTTGTGTGTGTTTTTTTCGTCGTACACTTTTCATCTCTCATCACTCACCACTGGCTCCATCCACTCACTTTTGGACTTCGAACTCGCTCTAGACCCCCCTCGACGAACCGCTGGCGTGGAAGACTCCCTCACCCTGCGGAGTCAGCCCACCACTCATCCTCCCTGTTCAGAGTGCATCGTGTGGCGATTGTGTGCGCTGGTGTGCGGCCATCACGCCCGCCAGTTTTCCACGAGTGTCATGGACGCGCCGGCGACTGGGAGCAGGGAAAGCTAGCAAGCGTGTAGGGTAAACTCTTCTAATTTTGTTCTTGGGGATGATTGCTTGCTAACTTCTGGATCTTGCACGTCAACCGCATCACGCATTCCTATTACGAATCACCCCGGACCACTGATGCGCATACGGCCGCAGCCTCTCTGTACACTCCGACCTCATCTTGCCGGACGCGTCACGCCATACCATATCACATGTCTATCTTTGGCGTGGATCCGCTCACATGCGCATTCACACTGTTTCGTTATCTCTGTGGCAGTAGGTGTATTTACTTCAGACTGGGGCGAGGTTGGCCATGGCATGCTGTGTACACAGACCCCCGAGAACACAGGCAGCAGAAGTCGTTGTCTTATTGGGGACATTCTCGGCGCTTGTTGTATGTTTCGGGAAAAGTTGCAGGAACGTCAGGCTCACGAACATCTTTCTCAGGTTCACACGTCGCGGGCCACCTCATACTGTCCGCTGAACGGGGTTGATAGCACTCTCCGTAGCCTCTCTTGGGGGCCCGGACACCTTGTGTTCCCTCAGAGATCAACATGAGCATTGTGCTTGCATTGTTACCGAGAAGAAATCAAGAAATGAGATTACGAAAAATATATATATACAGCAGGACGCGACAGGCCCAACAATAAGCAACCCGTATTCGGCTGGTCCATCGACCAAGAATAAGGAATTGAGGCTCTACCCAATGCCGATGGTTCCTGTCTCCGGGTCGGTGCTGTTTAGGGTAATATCTCTGGACGTACAGTACATACATGTACATAGTTCATTATCTTTTGCCTCGTTTTTCGGTAATCTGACTTCGAGATTCGCTACACAATGCTCAAATATAACAGTTGAACTATTTTCCACTCCTCTCTGTCCCTCGGTGTCCTTCTCGACGCGTACGACCGGCACAACCTACTGCGTTTCGGGGTGGGCGCTTCATCTTCTTTCCTGTTTCCTCCGGCAAGATGTCTCTGCCTTCCTACGCGGACTGGTTATACCTCGACGAGGATCTTTTAGATATAACGGACGAGGTACGTTGTCCATCCTAGCTGCGACGAAGTACTGAAGGTTCTGTACGAGATCGACGCTGTAGGCGTGCACTTCCCTCGGTGTCCAGCCCGTTTGCAGAATTATGCGAAAGGGCGCCTCCGATTGGCCATGACAGCGAGCAGTAGTAGAACACGCACGAAACCAAGACACCGAAATGCATATCGTGATCATCTATGTACAGTAGGTCACACATCACATAGCGTTGTTCCCGACGGATGTTCATTCTGTGCCAACGGAACAGCCACTGCAGTGGAAGAATGGAAGTTTCAGGCACAAGGTGGTGCGCTAAGAAAGATGACCTCCCCCGCCTTGAGAGTTTACGCGCTGTGCTCGTCAAAGAGAGCAGTATATTCCTTATACGAACGGGGGCGTATCAAATGTATTGGCGTACCTTTCTATGAGAAGAGCCTTGATCTGACGAGAGCGTTGTGTGCCGAAAATCGAAGGAGATAGAGGAAGCGAGGGATCGCTTGTCGGCCACCTCTAAATCCGGAACCCATTCGAACGAGGCAGTACCTTCACCGGGGTTCGGGGGCGGAGTTGGGACCGGGCGAGGAGACCCCCAGGTGCTGAGGGCATGGATGCAGGGTGTTTATGCCAGGGCCAATGAGGAAATGATTGACGAGATGCTCGAGAACTTCAGGTGGGTATTGTAGTTTCACTCGCACAGTGCATGTCGTTTCGGCATTTCGAAATGAGGCATTGACGAAACAGCCCATCCACCTGAAAAAAGGTTTTGGGAGTTCGTTGAGAGCGAAGAAACTACGGAGATGTATGGTGTGGCGCCATACCGAACCTTGTCTGTGGCATGCGTGGCGCAGCTCGGATTGGAGGAACTACCGAATCCCGTGTCATCGATTGTGCGGCTTTGTTTACTGTATTATTTCAACGGTTTAGATGATATGTTTGCCCTTCGTCGGCACCGATGTGGACGAGATCGAGTGAAAGATCGGCAATACGAAAGACAACGCAATTCTTTAAGGCCATCCTGCACTGTACGAGGAAGTGAAGACGACAATATCGGCTCGAGCAAAAAACTGACTATTCACCTCAAATACTTCGTGACTATTGATTGCCTCATGTTACAGGCGACGATTTCAATGACGTCGACCAACATTACACACCAAAAAAACGTATTTCGTTCTTCGCTATGGTCAGTTCTTACAATTGAGCCATTTTCATCAAAGAGGTTATTGTTTCCGCACCAGGACCAACGAGCGCGAGCTGATCGACGAGATCCTCAATAATTACGGGCACTTGGGGATCAGCCCGCCCACCGGTTGGTCACATCCTCAGATGGACTTCGACGACGGTTCTCCAGTCACCGCCGCTGAGCCCGGCACCAAGGGTGCTCCATCGTCCATTGGCAGCACAAACGGTTTCAGGGAAGGAGCAAAACCGGCAGCACCCTCGGTGCGGGCTTCCTCTTTTCCCCATCTATCGTCCGGGGCGTTGACGTCCATGTCCACATCTGGAGCTGGGTTCGGCGGCAGGCATAACAGAGGCCTCCCACGAACCGGCTCTATCGGCAGTGCTTGTCCTGCTGGAAACTTCACTAACATGTCGAGTGCAAAATGCGTGTTTTTTAGCGAGATGTGCGAAAACATCGTTTCCAACCCCAAAACTGGGAGCTGGTGTGCTTCCGGACACGCCCTTTGCGCTGAGTGTACCACCCAGTATGTTGAAAAGACGCTCCTACCGTGGGGTATCGTGTGGTGGGACAGGATTAAGTGTGTGGATCCGGAATGTGACGCGCACATGGTCGGCCTGAGTGTTCAGGGTTGTCTCGGTAGCGATCTAAGGAGCCATATCGACGCTGCTCAGCTGGAGGTTGTGCCTAATATCGGGCCAGAAGCCAGGCGTGAACGAGAACGTGCGGCACGAACGGCCGAGGATCGTGAATCGGCGGCAACCGTAGCCACAACTACCAAACCGTGTCCGAATTGTGGGGTGGCAACGGAGAAGAACGGCGGCTGCAAGCACATTACATGTACATGCAGCCACGAATATTGTTGGGACTGTCGGATGGCGTGGAAATCGGGGCACCGATGTGCCTGCGCACCACCTTAGAAGACGCTGTGAAAGGAGACCAGAAGTTCCTGTGCGGAAGACGGTATGTCTGCACGGGCGAGAACAGCGATAGAAACAACGCTCGTGTACCGATACTACCCATGAAGTACGGGACATTTGAGGAGAGTTTGCACCCGGGCGAAATTACATGTGTCTCGACACCTCGGGGATGAAAGATGCTTTACAAGTTTGAACAAAAACAATTATCAACAGTTGCCCAGGTTGGTCTCTCGTGAACACCCCCCGGGCCATTCAGTGGATATTGCTCAAGGATAGGCACAACCAACCCATGGTACAGTAGGTGGCTGGGGCCAAGGAAGGGTTGGAACGATGCTGAATGGCATAGAAGGAGATGCCGGCCGGGCACCAGAGGGCAGTGGCGGGATGGCGGTCGCGAGCACGGTGGCGGGATTGGGCCGCGTCGAGTTTCGAGCGTGGCTAGATAATCATTGGCAGTGGGCGGTGAAGCGGTGGTCCAAACCGGTCGTAGTCGGTTTCCTGCAGAAAATGGGTAATGTTGTTGCGGTGTGACTTGGAACGTTGTTGCGGTTTGGCTTCTTGCATCTTGAGTTGTCTAGGGATAGGTGCAACCACATCATGATACGGTGAGTCGGCCAAGTCAGGCTCGGAAATGATGCTAAAGAGGTAGAGGGGGAGATGCTGGCTGGGCGGGCACCAGAGCCGACCTTGTCTGGCATTGGTCGCATGGAGGTTTGTAGGGAGGGTGGCGGGATGGGGACGAGAAAGGGTTGGGAAGGTGGGGCGGGTATTGGCAGTGGGCGTGAACGAGGTAGTCCCGACTGGTCGCAGTTGTTTTCCTTTAGCAATCGACGTGGTTGTGGCAGCATGCCTTGGCAACAGTTCCTGGCCGACTTTCGCAAAATATTGGGAAAGTAGTTGATTGCCTCGAATGACGTACAGACGAACCTTGAAAGATGAGGCGGTGGGTACCACATAAGTGCCCCCCCCCCCTCCCATGGAAGGGGTTAGACATCGACGAAGATGAAACGCTGGAAACGGAGGGTCTACAGGGGTTCAAGGAGAAGATATCTGTTGCTTGTGCCGAGAGAGAAGAACAGAATCTAAGGAAAGAAACCAAGGATAAGGAGGGTCTAGAAGTGTACGGAATGTTGAAAGAAGGAAGAGGGTTCAAGGATTACCTACATGGACCAATGGATGCAGGGACAAAGCTTAAGGTCAAATTCAGGACCGGGGACATAGGCCTTCGAGAACGTCGACGAAGACATAGGACGTTAGACGACGAAGACGACAAGTTCAAATGTGGTTGCGGCTTCGAATGCGAAGACCGTGTTCATGTAGTCCGGGATGTCCGTGGTACGAAGAGGAGAGGGAAGTGTACATGACTGAGCTGGGAAACATACAAGGGACGTACAGGGAGATGTTTGAGGCATGGAATAGAGAGGAAAGGACGGTAGCTGTACTGGGGAGTAGGAAGTGGTTGAAAAGGCGGGAAGGGATATCGTTAAGATAG